TGGCTGAAATCTGCATTCTGGGAACATTGATGCATTAAAGACAGCAGCCCATAATTTTGAAATCCATTATATGCAATTACCTTTCTGTCTGAGACCTCAATCTCCTGGCTTTGTAAGCTGCAAAGTCAAGAAGGGAGGAAAATACTGAAGTGCTTATGACTGCATTAGCATGGAAATTTATATTTTGATCAACTAGCCTGGCTAGAGAAAAAAAATGTTACTGAGTTATGGAAGGCATCTGGGAAGTGTTTTAGATGCTAAATGTGACTCAAAGGAAAGTAGTAAAAGTGGTGGGTTGGAGTACTTTTTTTTTGTTTTTCTCCTTGGGATTTTTAGGCATCTCAGGTGGTATTTGCAGTTGCTGCATTCAAAGCAAAGTGGAAAAGAAGAGTGACTGGTGGAAGAGAGCTGTGTACTTTGACCCTCCTCTCACAAAGACACTGGCAAAATTAAAGCCTTAACAAACAAAGGAATTATTTGCTGTTTAGTCCTGAATTCAGGATTGCAGCCCTAAGCCCATGCTGGGCATACAACGGGGCTCGGGGCTCTGTCCCCAGTTGGTTTTGCTGCGGTTGCTGTAAGTGACGTGGCTCCTGTCGGAGAGCACTGGATGGTGTCAGCTGCATTGTACAATGCTGGAGGAAAGCCCTTTTATCCACCTGAAATGTCACCTGTCTCTCAGACACAAAAGTTTAAAAGTTAGGCTACAGGAACTGCAACCATGGTTCAGTTATCGCAGAGGTAATCATTCAGTCACTTCTTGTTTAGGAAAATTCTCAAATATCCTTCAGAGTAGCAATTATACATGCAGACACTCTTTTTTAAAAAAAAAATTTAATTGATATATATGCACGCCCACGAGCTATAATTTTTAAAGGGCTCTCTTTTCCTTCCAATAAAAGTGCACGTGGCTTTCTGTGCTACCTTTACTCCCCAAGTTCATTATGGTTTTTTGTTCAGGGTGGGGCAGGTGAATAACCTGAAGCAGCCCTGGAACACACTGGCCAGCTGCCATGCAGCTGGTTAATCCCTGCAGACACTTTCTTCCCAAGCTTTTAAGGCTGTTGTAGACAAATCTGTAGGGTAAAGATAGCAAAGTATTCCATTTAAGAGCGTAATTAAGAATAGTTTGCATGAAACGCATGGTGTGTAGGCCATAAACCCAACAATTAGAGCGGTCTTAAAGTTTTAAGAAGCCAATAAAATGAGGGGAACTGAAGCTACTATGAGGGTTTTTTTAGCTGTTTCATTTTTAACTATATGAAAGGCTTGTGTTATCTAATCTCAGAGGCAATCAGTATCTCACTAATGGGAACAGACCAGATATTTTCACGTACCTCATTAACCATTTCTGCTGGAACAGTCAAATTGCAGAGTTGCCATGATAAAAGAGCAGGTGGGTGATTGGAGTGTAGCTGTTTCGCTGCTTCAGTGCACTGAGGTCTCGGCAGTGACATGCACATGGGATTTGCAGATCGCTCCTTCGCTCCCAAGGATCTTAAATGCTTGCAACCAGCCGGAGCCTCGGTGCAGTCACGTAAAATTAAATAGCAAAGAAAATAAACAGTTTTTACACTAAGGAAGCAAGGTCCTTATATGGACCTGAAATATTTGAGTACCTCCCAAGTATTTATCAACACTGGCATGAGGGAAAGAAGCATTGCCTATTCTAGGCTTGTGGATGGAAACGACAGGCAAGATTTTGACATGGAAAACTGAAGGAAATGATGCGTAGCCTTGAAAATTCAACGCACGGCTTCTGAGTCCTTGGCCAGTGACTAAACCAAGATGTCAAGCCTTAAGAAGCCTTAACGACCTTCTTTCCTTATTTCTTTCCTTTCTTGCTCCCAAGTCCCTTGGCACAGGGTGCTCCCGTGGCTGGAGCCCAGTGGGAGTGGGGATGGGGCTCTCCAGGGAGTGCGGCGTCATCAGTGACTTTTGATCGTGTAGGAAAGCGTGCCAAGGGATTGCGCTAACAGAGCCAGAGCTCTGCTTACCTTGCCAAAGTTGAACCTTTCAGCTGGACAAGGTCCTTTTCTAATAGGGGATCAGAGGTCTTCTTGCTGTGGTAGGGGGATGGAAACTGGGTTTTCTGGTTTTGATATGTTCAAGGAGGTAGCTCTTCAAGGTGAGAGAAGTGGAGTTTATATGGTGTTCTCTTGGCACATGGGTGAAATCAATGGCCTTGATAGCAGAGGCTGTAAAAGCCATAGGTCACAGTATTGGTCTGGATATGAAGATGAAAACCATATGTCTCTGTGTTCCACCAGGTTGTGATTATAACAAGCAGGGAAAGTAGTCAGAGGACTTAAATTTAATGTGTAGGCACCCACTAGTATTCAAACATAATTATGAGCCTAGAGAAATCACCGAGAGTTGATGGAAACACGTGAATAATTGGTAGAAATCACCAAGTACTGAGTAGCTGCTGCTTTCTTAATTTTCCTTTAAGTGGGCGATTCCTGCAGTAAAGTAACTGAAGATGACATTACTTTTAGGACAGCTGAAGGCTCCAGCTGCTGCCATAAAAGTGAACGGTAAATCCCACAGGAAGTTATATTGCCAGTGGCAATTTTCAAGCGTGGAAGGAGAAGCGGCAGTTTGTGTGGATGACTTGTGGGAGGGTGGGAAGGACGGTCATGTTGAGTGGCTCCGACTTCAGAGGGGAGATTGAAATTTAATGGGGGTTCCCCAGAACTGAGAAGAGTTAAAAGTAAGTCCAGAAAGGATCCTTGGGGAACAGGGGAACTATATAGAAAAGTATAGTTGGCTTTCTTTTTTCTTAATCTGTGAAATGCTAATCCTTATAGACCATGTGGGAAAGGTACAGAGAAGAAAACAAAAATTGTCTTAGAGGGAAGCAGCTCAATTTTTGCACAGTAGGAAATTAGCTGAAGTATTTTGCTTAATTCTGAGTATCAGGAAGCCAGGAGATTAAAGTTGCCACTGGTAAAATCTAGAAATGGGTTTTCATTAGAAAACTAAAAGGTAACTAGGTCTGTTTATAGACACGCTTGCCCTGTTTCCTGTAGTAGGATGCTGCTTTAAGGACTCGAGAGCAAAAATATTCTTAAAAATGTTGTTTCTCAGTTCTGTGAATGCGGCACGTGTGTCAGCTGTGGCATGGGCTGCGCAGCTGAAAAGCTTTTTATCAGACAGTGCAAAGTTCTCAGAGCAACAGGCGATGAAACTTAAGCATCTGTGTACTGCCTTCATTGCGTAGGTCTGGTGAGAAAGTTGGTGTATCCATAAAATAAAGCCAGTGAAGGGAAAAATGCAGTGTATGTTTTGCGAGATCTGTCTAGCTACAGAAAAGATTAGCTGGTCCCAGGTGACTCTGCCCAGAGGATGCTTGCTGCCTCCCTTGGTCTGTCCTCAAAACTGCCTTCAAGTAGGATCCGTCAGGCTGCTTGCCGAGGTAATGAATAAAATCTGGTTGTATTAAAGAACTCAGACTTCAAGATTAGTATTTGGAGTACAAAAGTGATGCGAAAATAATGTGTGAAAACGAGAGACAGTTTTACCTGGTGCAGCATGAAGAAAGCTACTGCTGCTTGTAATACTGGGTGGAAAGGGCCCATTCTCTTGTCATGTTGTACAGGATGTTGGGAAAATGTCTGGATACAGAGCTTTCCTTAAGGAGGAGTTTCTTTCCCTAAAGGATGATAACCTGTTGTTTTGAAAGGCCTCTTTCTGGAGCCCTGTACAGGTTGAGCTGCCTCCTCCTGGGGAGCTCACCTGGTGGCCTGGAGATGGACAATTCATGGGCAGTTTTCACTGTGCATCCTTTTTATTTAGCCTCTGTTGATGTTCCCAGTTTTGCCCAGCTTTGAGTGCTCTGTGGCACCTTTGCAGGTGCTGGTGGGTGTCCCAGCAGCTCTGCAGCCCACAGGGCTGTGGTTGTGCCTGGTTGACATCTAACCATGTAGTGGTGACCCTCCCTGTGAGGGCATCACAGCCGTCAGCGCTGTTCCTGAGCAGTCGCTGAGTTAATCCGTGTCTAACACATGATGGGTTGCGCTGAGCCAGGACTCGGCAGCAGCACGAGGACAGAAAAGCTAATTTGGCTATTTCCCAGCAGCTCCGGGGGGGGGGGGGGGGCAACCTGTTTCAGCTTGGAGACCGTTGCCTGTCCCATGCAAGGTGCACGGCTTTTGCTTATGTCCCGCAGTGACTTTTCTGATCCCAAATGACCCCCTCCCTGGTGATGTCCCCAGCAGATGCCGGAGCAACTGCTCTATGGAAGGGCTACAGGAGGAGGCCTGGGGGAGTGGAGCTTCCCACTGGGGAGGCTCTCTTGGCCCCTTGCGATGGGCACCTGGATTATCGCTCAGATCTCGGGTGCTTCCAGAACAGCTTGGGAGTTTATGATGTGCCGCCTTTGAAAGTCCCTTGAAATGCTGGTGGAGCTCTTTTGGGAGATGTGGTGTGGTCCTGACAACCTGAGCTGAGATGGTTCCTGTCTCCTTTCGTCTGAGGTACCAGCTGGAGCCACAGTTGTGCGTTATTTCCAGTAAGGTTGTCCCAGTTTTGGAAGCAGCTGAGTGTCATCTTCCAAAGCCCACTCCACTAATTTGATCACAAAAGCCTTGAAACACTTTGTTCATGGTTTATTCGAGTTCCAAATGTTCTTCCAACACTTTGGAGACCTGATGCCCCAATGCATCCCCTGTGGGTGGTGGCCTTGGGGTGCTGCCTGGCTCACCCCACTCTTTTGGTCCCTGTCCCCAGCTGCACGAGGGAAAGAGTGTCCAGGGCCATGGATTGTTTGATCTGTATTTTGACATCAGTGGGTTCATTCCCTGCTGTTTGATGGGTCTCTTTTCTATGATGGCTTGAGTGGTCAAGGCCATCTGTCATGGAAGCCAACTTCCATCTTGGGCAGCAACTCTGAGTTGAGGCCAGACCAGTGCTGTCTAAGTACTGCCCTCAAGGAAAAACAATGATGAGACTCTGTGATGCTCACAAAAAGTTTTGTTTTTGTTTTGTTACCATTGCAGTGACAGCTATATTGTGCGAGTCAAAGCTGTGGTTATGACCCGAGATGACTCCAGTGGGGGATGGTTGCCGCAAGAAGGAGGCGGTCTCAGTAGAGTTGGCGTCTGCAAGGTCACGTACCCGGAGGGCAATGGAAGAAGTGGATTTCTAATCCATGGTGAAAGGCAGAAAGACAAACTGGTAATAGATCCTAATTCAACTTTTGTCTGTTCTTATAATGAGAATTATCCCAAATCTATTGCTATTGTATTCTTGTGCAAGTTTTTTTTAAAACATAAAAAACAAGCATGTGCATATAGTACCAGATTGGACAAAACAAACCTATTCTCATCTAGAATTGCCATCTTTTGCTATCTAGGTTGGTGTGCCGCCACCTGGAAGGAGCAGGTAAATTTTTGGTATCCATGTTCAAAGATGCCCTTTGATGATTGAAAAAAAGTGCCTGTGTTTTTTTTTCTAAGACCTAGCAGGGGTAAGTGAGAAGTGAATTGAAGTGTAAAGAACCCATGAAGCCAGTCACATTGCACTGAGTAATGCAGTGGAAGCCTTTAAAATGGCCATGAATTATTTATGCTGCGTGCCGTTCAAGGTTTGAACAAGCAGTGAAGAATATGAAGACAAGTTGTCTCTTATGAATTGACGCACTCAGTTTCTCCTGGTAGCTCTTTATCTAAAAAGGAGCTCTCTTCTTTCCTCACACAAATCAAATTAATAAAGCCTTTTCCCTATTTCCAGTGTCTGCTTTAGACGTTATAGTTTGTTACCGCATTTCTATATACTTGATTCTTCTGAAATTTGCTCCTGTAAAGAGATGGGCTAGCTTAAAAATAGCGCTCCCTGCACAAGCTCTGCAAACTCAGTGCTTGGGCAAAAAAAATGCATTATTGGAGTCGGAAATGATCTTGCTTTCAAAAAGACTGGTGTTTTAAAGCTGTTTCACATATGGTTTGTCTTTTGCGATAGTGTTTTGCTTAGGATGCTTTTTTTTTGACACTGTTCAGGAGCCACGCTTACGGTTCTGGGGGACAGTAAAACTGACAAGCCATTCCTGTTCTCCCTGAGCATCACCCTAGAGGTGTTTTTTTGGCACAGCAGAAGTTGGGATGAGTGCCTGGCTGGGGATAAGGGAGGAAAAAAGGGTGAGGGGAGTGTTACAGCACCTCCTAAATCTGCTGCTGGCAGAGAAAATTTCTATTGAGCAAAATTACTGAGGGAAGAGGTTCTCCTTCCACCTGAGCCCCTGCTAGCTGTACCCTGTGCTACACTGGGCCTGGGTCCAAAATAGGCTCCTGGGGCAGGGTGCGAGCACCTACTCAAAGCACAAGCAAAAGATGAATATGCAGTGGTTATGAGAACAATTACAATGTCTGGTGTTTGTTAGTCATCGCTTGGTATAGGGAGGGCTGTTCCCCTACACAAGGCATGACTTGGCTTGCTTTTTGGACCAGGCTGAGACGGTGCTGACTGTGTCCTTGGGGTGGGAAAAATGACTTTGCTCCTCTTCCGGGGCTCGCGCCCTCCCAGGTGGTGCTGGAGTGCTTTGTGAAGAAGGACCTGGTGTACACGAAGGCGAACCCCACCTTCCACCACTGGAAAGTTGACAACAGAAAGTTCGGGCTCACTTTTCAAAGCCCCGCTGATGCTCGAGCCTTCGACAGAGGAGTGAGGAAAGCCATTGAGGACCTCATTGAAGGTACCACGGCACGAGGCGACAGCCACTTGGGCCCTTGGAAGAGTGGGGAAAGGGGCCTGAGTCACGGAGCTGGGAAGAGGGATGGGTTTAAAATCAGTTCTTGGGCTTGGACATCTCTTGAGCGTGTGTGAGTGTACCCAGGTGCTTACCCTGCGATGAGCAAGCCCCAGCTTTCTGCTAAGAACTGAGTTTTCTCATCCCTTAAAGAGAGAAGGGATTTCAGCCCCAAGTATTTTCCAATACTTTCTGGCATGGTCTGTCCAGACTTCCCCTCTTAATTATTATTAAGTCTGTTAATACTGCTTTTTTTGATAGACTTGGGTTTCATGCTAGCAATGGCAACTCAAACAGCCCAGGCTTTTTATGTGTAGTCAAATCCCATCTTACTGAGTCTTTGTTAAATCATAGTATGAATTCCTGCCTGGAGTTGAATAAAACTTTGTGTTTTTTTTTTTCTTTTTTTCTTTTTTTTTGCAGTAATTAGTTTTGTCTGCGTCCTCTTAGTTGAATGGTAGTTCTTGAAGACTTTGTGTTTTGGGGGTTTTTTTAATTCTGTAAAAAATGCGTTTTAATTGCCTGTGCTTTGAAGTTGTCATAAATTTTTCCTTTTCACATTTCATTGCAATCAGGCAATCATAATACAGCTATAATTCAATAGTACTTTATTCTAATGAAATTTGATTCTTCATGGGGTTTTTGCTTGATTTTTATAACCATGCCACTTTATGTAGGGACTTAGTGGTCCAAAGCCTTTCTCCTTCTCACCCAGTGTGACCAGGACATTTTTTATATACAGATGTTATTTTTTGAGGATACTAGCTGAAATATATACACAGATGTATATTCTTTTTGAGGACATTAGCTCCATAAGACAGCTTAATGTTCTGGATGCCCTGTCCTTGCTGTAACATGGAAATGGTAGATACTGGGAGAGAACTAATCCCCCAGGGCTCTCCTGGTAAAAACCTCATCAGCTAAAAGAAGGGTCTTCTCAGCTGGTTATTAATTTGCTCTTTTTCCCGTGCCATTAACATGAAGAAGTTACAGCTAGGCCTTCTGATTTCTTCTTCTTGCTTGCTAAAACTGGGAAGCATTTTGAGTCATAAAAGTGATGTTTTATGTTAGTGGCACAGGATTGTGCAGAATTTCAGGGAGATAACTCAGCTGTATTGAATAGTATTTTGGAGATACTGGTACGTGACAACTCCTATTTTGCTCTTTCTGATCCATTTTACAGTAGAGGTATTACAATGAAGTTCTGCTGTATCTCAGATACTTCAGAATCAGCAAATCTATATTTATCCCATTAACAGCACAGACTGATCCTCATGAATGTGTTCCTCCTTAACTTCCAAATAAGGCTTTCTGAATGAAAAACAATAACTGGCTCATGCACACACAGCATCGGGCAGTGGAATTAATTTATCGTTCATTTTTTATTCACACAGTTGATTGAATTTAGCAGGTAATACTAAGCACAACAAACTATGTGCATTCAAAACTTCACTTCATGAAATTGCTGCTTTATTAATAATATTTAACTGATAGTTTTTTCCCCGTAGCATCAGAAGTATAGAAGCTTTGTGCACAAGCAAAAGAATCCTATGCAGCTACATAGTGTCTGGATTTTTTACTTTTAAGGCTAATGTAGCAAATGGCACAAATGTTTCCACGTTACTTAGTGTTTTAAGTGGGCTTTCACACTTAGCTCTGCACATCTTTGTGATGATGCAACTGAGAGCAGCCGAGGCTGTTGCAGATAGCATTATATAAAGCACATATTTTTAAAAAAATTTCCAGAATGAAGGTGGTACAAACTGTTCAACTATTTTAGTTAGGGATGGGATGTGGCCCTAATTCAGTATAACAGTAGGCTTACATCAAAAAAAAAAAAAAAAGAAAATGCCTTTAACTTGGGGGTTCTCCCCCCATCAGAGCATCTTGTTGCACCCACCCTCCTTGGCAGCCTCATGGGGGGTGAAGCCAGCTGGGGAGGGGGTCCAGGATCCTTGGCTGGGGGTAGGAAGAGGGGTCACCCCCTTTTAGCCACTGCATAGATTTACTGGCAAGTCCAGCACTGGTGTGTGCCACCCTCCTAGCTGCCCTCCTGTGACACGAGTGCTGACCGGGCTCTTGAGCGGCTCTGGAGGGGGACACCCCCCTTGGAGGAAGGGGTTTTTTAATATGATTTCCCATTTTTTTTCAAATGTTTGGCACGTAATTCATGAGAACTGCATTCCAGTGTTCTGCTCTTGTCTATGGTTTTACACATTTCAGCTCCTTCCAAATACTTGGCTTATGTGGGGCAAAGCAGGTCTCTGAGAAATAGCTGATAAAAAGACCTTTACAATATATAACAACTTCCAAAATTAGAAGAAGAAAAAAACCCAATCTAACTCTTCGTTGTCACTGAGGTTTATTTTTTTTTTAATAAAACGTCATTTTCCCCCTAGAACTAGGGAACACGTGAAGAATAGCTCATACACGGTTTCTTGACAGCTGAGGCTCTAGTCTCGAGCACTGATTAGTGCATAGCTTTGCTGTTCTTCAGAAATGAAAGTCTTCTGTAATTGGAATTGGTAACTGCTATTTTTAACATAGTTAATTAACACTGGCAACCATGCAGTTGCGTGACGAGAAACACTTTCAGATTTTACCTTCCCAACCCAGCTACCAGTAGATGGGCTTTTCTTCTTTAACGAGAGCCATTCTTTTACACATCTCCAACATGCAAACTGGTGAGACTCAAAATGTTTGCCAGCCTAATAAAAGAAAAAAAGTTGCATAGAAATGTCTGTTGGAGAATGGCTAAGGGAAAAGGGACATGGATCTAGAGATCCTCTTTGCGACGAGAGTCTCTTTTAAGTTAGCATGAGTAGGCCTCAGTCAGCAAGAGTGAATCCCGTGGGGAAGTACTGACTAAGGTTTTGAGATGAAACATTGTCTATCTCGTCAAGGTTGGGAAACATTCCTTGTTCTTCTTTAATCAGTGGAGGATGGAGAAATGAGCATTCCTTGTTTCTCCTAAACTAACTTATCTGGGTTTTTCCCAGGGCTTGGGCCAACAAGCCCTGGCACAGCTTGCTTGTATCTTATCCAATCAATGATTGACTAGTAGGCATAATTAGTAGAAGGATTATAAAAGGCTGTAACGAAAATCAATAAACTGAAGCATGCTTTATCACTCATACTGAGTCGGCTGCGTTCTTCCTCCTTAGCCTGGGTCCTCGGCTCGCCCAGCCCGGCGAATGTCATGTATTTAAAAAGCTGTTGTTTTTATTTCCTAGGGTCCACGACTTCCTCGTCAACCCTTCACAACGAGGCTGAGCTCGGCGATGATGATGTCTTCACTGTAAGTACACATCACCCGAGGTCATTCTCCCTTATGCTCTGGTTTACCCGGTGAAGTTGGAAAGGGTTTTTCTTTTTATGCCTTAGGGTTGGCTTCCAGCCGTCATCATGTTTGGCCAGTGGGTGTGTTTTGTTTGATGGAAGTATATGCTCTACAGAACGTAAAGCATCGGGTTTCTGTTGGCCTCCTATTGCCACGTGAAAAGCATGGCAGAGCAGATGTTGTCAGGGCTAGAAATGAGGAAATAATCACCCTCAAATTTCCTATGGCTTAGCCTGAGTGGTGCACACACCTCTTAATACCCCTTTCGGTCTTTGAGAAGTTTCACACAAACTCAAGTAGGTGGCTGCTACTCAGGTACATACTAAAGGAAACGAGATTTTGAATTTCAATTATTAACAAAAGCCAACTCTAAAGGTGTTTCACCTCTGCATGAAATGTAAAAAGTTCAAACAAGTGTTTTTCAGCTGGAGGAAAGCACAGTAGCATGACATCTACCTAACCAGCGATGACTTAAGTAGGAGTGAGTTGCTTGTATTTCATTTGTGGTAATGTCTAAAACGTGTTTCAGAGCTTTTCTGAAACAGAAGAAACTTACTGTCCCTGCTACACTCGCACACTTTAAAAGAGGGGGGAAAAAAAAAAAAAAATTACTTTGGATGAAATTGTAATCTGATCAAGGATATTCCGTGGCCTGAAAACAAGACGCTCACAACGAATACTTTGTCTATTAAATTTCTTTGCTTAGCTCCAATCGCAAACTCCCACGCGCACGCGTACCTGCATTAGTTGTATAATAAATGCCCTCCTTGTCTTGTGGCACAGGTGGGGACTGGATGGCAGGAGGGTGGAAGGTGGGATGCAGCAGACTGAATTGTAGTAGCCTTAGGGATGTTTCCCTGCATCTTTAGGGCGAATGCGGGAAGACTGAGGGCTGGCATCAAGCCGTTAGTCGAGATGGGCACCGGGAAGGACCTGAAGCTGAAAAGTGTTTTGGGGGCTGGTGTTTCGCCGGTATGGGACCAGAGCAGGTTCCCTGCTGTGTTTTGACCAGAATCTCCCGCCGGCTGGCATGTTGTCCACATCTGTCCTTTTGTCACGGCTCCGGGAGACAAACAACAGCAGGCAGGGTTAAAAGGTGACTTCCTGCGCTCCACAGCAAAACTGTCATTAGCAGCTGCTTCCCAGCTACCTGCCAGAAGTGATTTATAAGTGCTGGGGTAGGACGGAATGGAAGGGGGGAGGCACTGCTGGAGCCGTAGCAGTTTACGGGTTTGTACTGTTTTGTCCCCAAAGTTGCTGGGTGAGCCATCCTCTGCTGGGGGTGCATGGTCTCGCTGGACGTGCGTGCAGCTCTTCTGTGCTCGTCAGAAAGGGGATGACCGATGAGATGTGCCTTGGGTGGGTGGTGTGTGCCAGCTCTCGCTGGGTTAGACATGGAAACACTCAGTGTTAAAGCAGTGAAGAGCAGCCTGTGGAAGTAGGGAAGGATATTTTTGCTGAAATCCAACTGCTTGCTGCTTAGGGACCTGGGAGCGCTCCTGGATTTCTCCACAAGCTCAGTCTTGTGGTTGAGTGTTGATTTTGAAATTCGTAGGGTGCTTTTTTTAAGAAGTTGTTGCCTTTAAGTAGGTGTTGCTTTACGCTGGGAAAGTTGGATGAACGGTGCTCCAGCTGCATCCAAATCACACAAACTCCTGCACTCAAAGTGAAAAGCCAAAACTGCGAGAGATTTTCCCCCCTACTTGACCCCAGGAAGGTGACAGATAATCCCCTGCCGTGCAGCTGTTTATGGGTAGGATGTTTGGTGGTGAAGGAGGAACAAGCCACTTGATAGCATTAGCAAGGAGGGAAACTTCAGCTGCGGTCAGCACCTTGTTGGGATCCAGGGGGACATTCACACCTCGAATTGTGCCCTGCTTGGCAGCCCTCGCTGTTGTGTGATCTCGAGTGTGATGGTGGCAGCTCACGTGGTGCTGTTAGTCAAGCTGTCACATCAGGGCGGGTGTGTTGTAATCCAAAAATCAGGCTTTAGGAGCATCTTTTTCCCCAATATTTCTTCTTTGCTTTCCCAGGATGAAGTCTCTCCTTTTCCTGCAGCCCTTAAGCTCTTTGAAGCTCTCAACTTCCCATTTATCTGGTAGGTGATGGTGGAGTATGAAGTCTGCATAAGCCAGAAATAACAGAATGAAGCATGGAGGGGTTTTAGACTGGAAGAAATTGATAGGGCTGTAATATGTTTTAATTTTACCCTTCTGTTTCATTCTTTCTTTGCACTTCTTTTTGGTGTATCATAGTCTCATTTGGTCATCGTTGCACACAAAACTTCTTCACAACTTTCCCGTAAACTCTTTTCCCCGGCCACAGCAGTGGATTTTTCAGATTTGGAGGGTTTTTGCTCTGTTTTAAAGAGAAAGTACATTTGTTCTTTTTTATTTCCTAAGGTAGTTATTAAAATCTTCACAGTCCTCCCCCTCTCCCACACATGCATGAATAACTTAACTGCGTGCGGCAGAATTTTCAGAAGCATCTGCATGATTGAGTCATTTAATCAGTCATTTACCCATCTCTGAAAATCCCAGTCATCGCTGCTACGCTGCTGCCTCAAATATTTGGCCTGAGGTCTTGCCTCTCCTGGCAGATGTTTCATTCTATTCAACCACAGTGGTCCAAAACTTCACATTTCTTATGCTTCTTTGCAGAGAGCCACCCCAACTTCATCTTGCACGTTCAGCACCGATGTTTGCACCAATGTAATGGTACTGGCTTTAAAACAAGCACCCTCGTTACGTGGAAGCACTGGCCCTGATACAACTGTTAGATGTTGTATGACACAGGGCTTTTATACTGTCCCTGATCCTGTTAGCTTCAATACTGCTCCATGGGATGATGACTTTGGGCATAGTTTTATGCGTGGAACTTGTACATCATCAGTTTTGTTTAGTCGTCAACCAGCATGCAACCCTTCCAGGCATCCAGCAAGTTATTTACATGGGGAAGAGAAGATTTGCCCCAGAGGTAGAGCTCTCCTTCAGGCTATGATCTTATGTGGCTTAATGGAGGATCATTTTCTTGCACCAGAAGGTGGGGTTTTTTGTTTTTAAGGGGGCGAATTATCTGCAGCTGTGGATACCTGAGCATTTGCTTGGGAAGCATCATTGGTGTCGGTAGCCTTATCTCTTCCCATCACTGTAACTTGCAGTGCTGAGACCAAAACTTGGGCAGCAGTACCTTGCCCCGTCCCTATGGTATATGCTTCCCATCCATCATTCTGAAGCATGGGTTATATCTTTAAAAACAGGACTTCGCCATCTAATAATTAGTGGACTAGACCTACAGCAACTAGACGAGTGGATACAAACCTCTGTTCTGAAATTCATACCTAACAGAGCAGAAGACAAAAGTAGATAGAAATGTGTCACTGACTTGAGGGGAACATGCTTATTTCTTAAATGAAATCTCCATTTAGAAGTTTTAACAATATGTAGTTGTGTTTCTTTAATTCCAGATCCTCAGTAGAGCCCATAAATGTTTTCCATATGTTAGCAAATAAATTTCTCCTGTCTTGTACATTATAAATCGTCCTCTCAAGAGATGCAATCTGAGTAAGACTAGCCATCCGTCTGTCTCCATTGAGGGAAACATTGTCTTTGCAGCGGTCTGAGATTGTTCTGTTTGTCTCCAGCCAGCCAGCCTGCATCTTCAGCCTTCTTTAATTAACATTCATTTCAGAAATAACATTTAATAAGGACTGAATATATTCCATAGTTCCTCAGTCACAGAATGCCATATGATTGAGTTCTTGTGCAAAATTTTTCCTTAATCTACACTTTTACTCTCAATTACAGATAATAATCCCCCGTGACCATGAAGTGAAAACTATGAATTGAGTCCAAGGAAAGAAAAGTCAATGTCTTCCAGAGTTTGCAGAGTGCCTGAAATGGTCTCTTTTAGCAACCTATCTGAAAAAGCAGAGGTGTTTGTTCTGAAACCTTATGACCGGTTCAGCTGAAACGCAGCTTGTGTTTTTCAGATAAATCCACAGCCTTGTATTTGCTTTAGTGCTGAAGAAATGACACCCACTGTCAGGAAGAACGACAGCTCCCATGTTCTGGTTTGTGAACCTAAAAATGACTGCAGTCCCCTTCTGGCTTAATGGGAATATGAGGGAGAAAACAACAAAACCCAACCTTATTAAGTTTGATATGTATGTTACAAGCATAGCTGTTTTGTGTAATCAGTTACAATTTTTAGAAACCCTAGTTTTTGTTCAAGATGAGACTTGCAGAATTTTGCAGGTAGAGCAGGCATGAGCTGGAGGTGCGTGGCTGAGCTACAGGGTTGTGTTTCAAGACACCTAGACTTGATCCGTTGCTTCTCTTGCAGACTCCTGGCTAAAAGCCTGTTTGCCTCGGTTCCTCAACTGCAAGACAGGGAGAATACTCTCCTGCTGCGCTAAGGTGATGTGGACAGATCTTGCTGCCACTGCTTTTCTTCTCTGTACAGGGTCCTGGTGCTGGGACTCACACTGGGCTACCAGCACAAGTTTGCAGACTCATGTTTTCACCACGAAGTTGTGTGTTTGGAGTGATCCTGTGCCCCTCGTGCCTTTTTCTCAGCGTGAACGTGTACTCCTGTGCTCGGGGATGTTCGAGTTGGGAAGTTTGTCATGTGGCTTGGACACTGCTGACAGTTGTTTAAGAGACAGACAGAATTACCCGTTCTCCACCATAGCGGTGCAGATTGTGGCAGATGTTAACGTTACAGTCTTCCTTGCATCTCTTCTGGTTTCCTAATTAAAAAAACAGATTTCTCCCTGCTGCCTTTCCATGAAACCTTTTCCCTACTTTCATCTCCCATGTGGGCCTCCAGCGTGTTACAGCCTCACTATTAAAATTTATAAGATTTATGTTAGTTAGATAAACACTAAATCTTAATTTTTCTTGCTGGCTTGGTCGTTTCACATTCAGATTATTCTTTTAGGGAACCACTGTAGCTCT